CCCACACCCACACCCACACCCACACCCACACCCACACCCAAACCCACACCCACACCCACACCCACACCCACACCCACACCCACACCCACACCCACACCCTCAGATGGAAAACCCCTTAAACCATCAAATGAGTAAAATATAGTATTTGTAGCTACGAATTAGCTTTTTACTAGTGAAACTGCCCATTTTTTATTACATTTATTTTATAAACTTTTGAAAACAGTATATTCTGAATTAGCATGAATAACTGAGTAGAAAATTTTTATTCAAGAGCCATTTCACTTAGGGCACGACAAATTACCACAGAAATTGTTCAATCAATTTTTCTGAATTTCGATTTCAGTTACATATATTAAAGGTACAAGAATCAGTGGGTTTTTGCACCACAAACCGCTCCTCGATAGCTCATATCCTCATTGCGATATTCATTTTTTATTGTGACATCATTTGCCTTCAACTAACGAAGTCGACTCCACCACTATCTACTGAGAAGCACACCATTTCCGATTGACGTGATACAGAATCATGAAAATTTCGGATTGGTACATATTGAGTTGCCCTACAAAATAAACCCAACCCCATCTTTACATGCCACTCTATGACTGAGTTATAAGTGCCACTAGTAGTAGAAATTCGTCCGTGTATATCTGTTGCGTAACCAGCTACTCAAGGCTAACGCCTTTACAATAGGCACTCAGGCTGTGGAGCAATATAATGATGAAAAGAAACTTTGGGCAATCAATCACAACTGGAGATATAGAATCTTTACGAAAATTTAATGCATTTCCTGCTGATTTTTACAGATTATCATCTTATTTTCGTAACAAAATCTAATAGCCAGTGTCATATTCGGAACCAGCGTAAAAAACTAAGTCGAACGATATAGAATTTGTAGAAAATAATTTTCTATCGAAAATTCATTTGAGCGGGATCACAGGCAAAAAATTTTATAGAAAGCAGCTGAGGGGGAGTAGGAGTAACTTTTTGATAAAACGTTTTTTGGTTGTGGGTGTGAGTGCGGGCCATTCTTCTTATCATCCAAGCCCACACTCACACCCACACCCTAACCGGTGATTGTTGATGATGAAGCGCGGTTTACCGCTAAAAATGATCCGATTTTTGTGACTTGAGTAAGCAAGATTTGTGATAAAGTTCTCTCACGTATTTTATACTAGATAATTTATTTCTACAAATAAAATAGAAGGATGAAGTTCCTATGGTATGCCATTGGGACTTAATTCAAAAACCAAAATTAACGCAGAAATGTTGGACTATTCGTTAGTTTTTTTTTGTTTTGCATATCGATAATTATTGCTTATTTTTGTACTTCCCGAAACGAGTTTTACTCATCTATAGAGGAATATAACCAACAGCCTTATGTTTTTATATATGTGTAGAGATTATGTCGTTAGAAGAGTGCTGCGGATCAACAGAGATTGAAAATAAGCAGAGCTCTGTGTCGCAAAACATTGTACTAATCGGAGGTGGATTACATGCAGGTGTTGTACTAGATTTAATTGAAGTAATTAATGCAATTCAACCCAAATATGTAGTTGATGGATTTTACGATGATAATCGGACACATTCAAAGCTTAGCATCCCATATCTTGGAACTATTGAGCAATTAGTCCAACAGTTTATCGATAATTCTGCGGTATTAAAGGCATCGTTTGTTGTATGTATTGGAGATAACATTGCGCGGGAATATATAGTTGAAAGGGTTTCGAAGAGCCTTCATGATGAAGAAAAAGCCGAATGGGCCACGCTTATTCATCCATTTTCTAGCATTTCTCGATCAGCTTTTGTCTTACAAGGCAGTGTTGTTTGTGCTGGTGCAGTCATTGGACCTAACGCTAAGGTAGGCATGCATACAATAATTAATACCCATGCATCTGTCGACCACGATTGCAGCGTGGGAAATTATGTTCACATCGCCCCTGGTGTGCATTTATGCGGTGGAGTGAGTATTGGGGATTTAACTTTGGTGGGTGTTGGCTGCCAAATCATACCTAAAATCTGTATCGGTAAAAAATGTATTATAGGAGCTGGTACAACTGTTTTAGCAAATGTGACTGATATGAATAAAGCTGTCGGCATTGTAAAACCTGCAAAAAAACGAGATATCGAGATCGATCATGAGCGATTGCTTTGGCTTCCTACAAAGCCAGCGAATTTCCTTCGCATTGAACATCTATTAACAGAATCGATTCATCGAAACCACTTTGCTAATTTCGGCCCTTGCGTTCAACAATTGGAAAGTTTATTACGAAAGATATTAGAAATTAATCCAGGCAAAGCTATTATCTTGACGTGCAACGGAACTGCTGCTTTACACGCTATCGTCGGTGGTTTAGAAATCTTCTACAGGAAGAAATTGAATTTTGCGACGCAAGCGTTTACTTTTCCAGTATCAGTGCAAGGGTCCATGGTTAATTCAACAATTGTGGATGTGGATAGTGATGCTGGCTTGAATCTTGATCAGATTCAGATCGAAACTATTGATGGTATTGTGGTTACGAATGCCTTTGGACACATTGTCGATATACAAAAATACGTAGAATGGGCTAGTCATTTCGGGAAGTATCTTATTTTTGACAATGCTGCTACCTCGTTCACATTCTACCAAGGTAAGCGAAAACATGTTGATTTATTTTGTGAAACACAATTTGAAAGGAGTGTTGAAGTGTATTGGGTAGAGGTTGGCATCTTGTTTCCCTTCCACAGACTGTGATAGACGCTAGCTAGAGACCATTACAGACCATGACAGAAGTTGTTGGTATAAAATCATATACTGCATATCAACAACGGCTCGTTACTATATACGGACTGCTTCCTAGTCAGACAAGCGTTGAAAAAAACGACGTTTTTACGCATAAAAATCGCCCATTTTCTAGGCGGTAAAGCATTTATTTTTGGAAACAGAATCATTTTCCCGATGTTGCTATTAACAAGATTACTTTATTTTTCGAGCAAAAGTTACATTTCATGAAATGTTAAAATGTGCGCTTGTTACGCGTAAAAACGTCGGTTTTTTCAACGTTTGTCTGACTGGGTTGGCTCTGATTCATGCACATTCATGATCCCGTATATTGGGTCGTAGAATCGCAGAATGTGCGAGTGTGGGTGTTGATGAAGAGGAGACTCTAACTGGGCCTGTGGCAGCTCACAGTTCTAAGAACTGCTTCCTTAATCCACAACTAGGCCTACTGCTCAGTTCTCAATTAAGAAAGAACTGGTTATAGTGATCGGCTTTTTTCTAACGTAAGCTGCCGGAGGCGTAACATACGAATCATTTTTTCCCTTATTTTTATATATGGTTTGATAGTGCTT